TCCATTGACTAGTTAGTCTAAACTATGTAGTTTGGAAACTTTGGCTAACGCACGTTTTGTAAGGTTGTATATTGATTATAAATGTTAATTGACTTGACACATTAAACTAAAAATCTTCATAGAACTATACAATCTCACGTCCTGACCAGTATGTATATTTCATTCTGTTCTTATTTAGGTCGTTATTTTATATTCAAATAAATGTGAAAATTGAATCATTTTATTCCGTGCCAAGAAACTGTGTACATAAGAAAGCTCAGTATACATTGTTCTCGGTACACTCAATCAACTTGTTAGTCGCAGAATAACGTGAATTTATTTTGTTTTGTTACGTTCTCGTTTCGACTCACAACCTGTAGTATTCTGGAATAAAAATTATCACAAAAGTTAAGATACATGTACCAGTGAAATTAGTTAAATGAGAATGTATATATATTAGCATTAACTTGTGTTAATCTACTTCATGGTTTAATCAAATGATATTTTAGCTCTATAAACTTAAATTGCTATTCTAATGTTCTACAATTCTCTTTCAAATTGTACTTGTTTGCAAGATTTTCTATATTTTATCAATCTGATTACTTCTGTTCTAATCGTCACTCCATCATGATGATACATAGTGACATCTAATCCATTTCAATAGTATAAATACATTATCTTTTACGATAATTTTAATTCTAAACTATTCTAGGTTGTAAGCAGCTGATGGAAACTGAATGAAATAAAATAAAATTTGTGTTTTGATCAAATCTTTGTTAATGCCCACTTCAAAGTATGGATTAACCTCTGAAAGACTGATATCCTCATGTACTGAAGATCCTGTTTTTAACCTGTCTTTTCGTTCTCCTTAACTCTTCTGGAAAAATGAGCATTATAAAATCAAGTTCCTGTCGATTGCTAAATCTTGGAAAGTATATTCCTAAGAGCAATTTGTATTTCATATGGAATAGCTTATCCGTTCTGCATAAACCCGTATGAGATAAACAATTTGTGTTAATCAACTGTTCTTTTAGTTCACCTAACAATTGGTTTGAATTTATACATGTAACTGCCTGACTTAAAGTCCCAATTTACCAATCGGAAATAATTTCAATGCTTTTATTATTAGTTTCGTTAAAGTTCGGTCTCATCATAGAAATCAATCTGATATGTTAAAATGCTTGTTAATTATTGTTAGTTCCACCATTATCCGACTTTGCATACTTTTTACTCAAATCATTATTCATAGGGTGCTTCTACTGTGTTTGTTCATAGTAGTCAGTTAAAAGAACATATCGAAGAGCTATGAAAACGGACCTAACCTATATACTTCCTGTACGGTTAGTATATAAAATTAGATCTGTCCCACAAATAATGTAATTTAAAAAAAATTGAGCCGCTTTTAAGTCCGTATAGCTTTTATAAAAGTTGTAATACGTTTAAGCTAATGATATTTGTCATAAAGACAACAGTGATGTAGGCCACTCTAAATCTACTGTATTGTCTGGAGCATGTGTTATACATCTCAGTCTACAGAGTATGTCGGATTTCCTTAAAATCTTAGAATTCGAATAACTATTACATCACGATAATTTTTCGTAAACTCTAATTACTGGTTTCAATTATACACGTAAATTTATGTAGTACTAATTAAAATTTATTTATTTATTTAATCACATAAACATTGGTACAAGGAGGTACCGAATAGATATGCGCCACACAAATCATTCGATTTGTGTGAGGGCTAGGATAGTTCCCGGGTGCCCAGACCGAAGCAGGTGGTTTTCTTAGGAGGCCACACCCCGAGCCTTGGACCTTAAGGTCTTCACAATTTCGTAAAAAACACCCTCACCACGAGAAGGAAATGAGTAGGACTTCCCTAGCAGAGGCTGTATACGCGTGGCCGTGTGAGAGCATTTCGAGAGGGAGAGCAGGCCCACTCCACTCGGCCATACCAGGACATTTGGGGGTACTAATTAAAATTAATAAAACCTGTGTAAATCTATCTACATATACGATGATTAATTCCAAGATTTAATTTTTCTTCCTTATAATTATATAATTTTAATTTTATCACTTATGATTCAATATAAAAAAAACTGGATTCATCAACTTTTTTCTCATTCAATATCTGTTCATCATCACACTGAAATAATTTACCATTACTACTTCCTCTTTTCTTCCTGATTTTCTCCTACTTTATCTTTTGTTACTCTTCTCTTTTTTATTGTCTTTCATAATATACTCTATGCTTTTTCTCTTTTTATTTCTCTGGTGATATTTAATTTTAAAACAGCTCATATGATTCATAAAATGATGATGGAGATGATAACTGCCAATTTTTGAATGATATATATATATATATATATATATATATATATATATATATATATATATATATATATATATAAGTACTAATTTACTAATTACGATAATTATCTTTTCTATCGTTGTAGAAAAAAGAGATATGAATTGTGTTTTTTCAAAGTATATGTTATAGTCTTTTTGAATGAGAAAAATCCTTTTTATTGTCTTTAATAAATATGTTTGCACTATTATTATTATTATTATTATTATTATTATTATTATTATTATTATTATTATTATTATTATTATTATTATTATTATTATTATTATTATTACAATTTACTACTGTTCAAATTAATCAATAGTCTTTTGCACATATATGCATATATACAAGCCAATTTATGTGCGTATGTGCACACAAAATTAAATGCAAACACACACTACGCGTATGCACTTAAATAGTGTACTTTAAGAAAAGAAAAACCCATCGAATTAGTTTAATCTAATTTTAATTACCAGCATGTAATTTTTTTTTCAAAATTGTTATTCCTTCATTTCGTTTTCTTTTGTTTTGTTTTTTCATGGTTTTTGATGTGATTTCGTAGTCATCTTACATCATCTATTGTTAATTATGAGCATGTATTTAAATTCGCTCATAAAATGTAGGTTTTGAAGTCATTCAATGACTTAATATTACTTTTCATTAAAATCTTTTGTAATAATCCATTTTAAATTTTAAACTATGCATGATATTCTTTGCTCTACTTCACTAATTTATATTAAGAAACCAGATTGTAGAATATCTCGTCAAACGTTTACTCAATTATGATAGGTATATTTAAAAAACCCCACTTAGCTCCCATATTGATTTGATTCAAAACCTCTAAAATATCAGTTATCATTTTGTGTTATCCGTGATCTACCTAACAACTAAACATCCCTTAAGCTTATGCTTATCAACGTACGATCAGTGTGCATTTAAGACTCACTTTGATTGTTGTATCAATAGTTTTCTTGTTAGATAAATTCGACTTCGTGGATTCTACTGAATTATGAAAGTTTCTTTATGAATTCGAATTATTGAAATTAATTATATTTTTTATTCTCATTAATACTGTCGAATTTTTCATATATTCATGCAATGGAAACATCTTAATTATAATATGATTATTTCTATGTAACGTAAATATTATGTATTTATATCTATCATTTCACAATGTATTGGACCTAATTATCAGCTACACTTCCATGATACCTAGCTTTTTTCTATTAACTTATCAGGCTTATATTCACGTACTTAGCTCTAAGTTACACTCTAACTGTGAGGGGTAGTGATGTTACTTGGTTACGCAAATTAAAGTAGGTAGAACGGATTTGTGCCTGGAAAATAATGGGGGAAAGTTAACCACCCAAACATTGGACCCATTTTTCTTGACACTATAAATCTTCAACAAGTCTATCACAGTTTGAATTTACTGTTTCGCAGTTTAGAACCAGTAAAATTTGACTTAAGGGACCGTAAAAGTACGTTCAACATCTTGTTTATCCACCAAAATCATCTACCTAAGCTACAAATCTTCTCCACCATCTACTAATAATGTGTTTATCTCAATTCACTTGCTATGTATTTTTTACTTAGTAAGCGCCTTATCAGCTTACGTAGAACGTTTTGACTTTTGAGATATCAACTTCGTAAAAATCAGTGGTATAGTGCATATATGTGGTTGATAATGTCACCGAGATAACAGAGGAAACTTCCCAAGAGAAGCACCCAGATGAGGGGACTTAACATTAATAAAATCATCCACCATCCCATTATTTCGTAATAGGTAACCTTACGATTTCCTTACTTCACACAAGGTTGTGTTTAATTATATATGTTCCCTGATGGTTAAGGTGTTCGACTTCCAGCCACCAATTTATAGGTTCACACTCCCTTCAGCTTATATATATATCATTTCTCTGGTTTCGTAGTTCATTGATATTTTTCTTTTAGTTATTAAGTAATTATTTCATATATCCATTTTACCTTTAGAGAGCAAGATTGTATTTTCATGCATTAAATATCAATTCTACCTCACTGTTTAATGTTCGGTTATTAGAAGGCAAGTAGATCTTTTGTTAGTTTTGAATTAATGATAACGCCATCTCATGTTTCGAGTTCCTCATTCATATTGATATTTTTCATTATCCACTACCCGGATAAGGGAAATACCATCTAGTCTTCTGTAAAATAGTGACTTCTCAACAATATATTTTTTATCATGTGTTATATATACTGTCAGATGTTTCCAAATTATCTGTTTTCACTCAGTTCGAACCACTTAGTCTTTGAATGTGGAACGAATTACTCTAGATATAGATAACCGTTGAGGATTTATATCAAGTGTTCGATATTTAGCTGTTGTAGTTAGATTTTGCTATCCTCTTTATCTCTATAATGTATCCCGTCCTTGGGTTTACGAATGTTTCTTGACTCTAGTAAGTCATAGAGAAAATACTAGATACTATGTATTAAAGGTAATTCAGTCTTTCTTGTAACTCTCAAACACTGTAATGTAGTACCGGTTTTTGCATTGTGTTCGTCTATAGGATGTTTGTTTAGGGTAGTCTATTTACTTTTCTAACTTCACTTGAGTGTCGCCCTTCTGTTGTTAGTTTACTTTTTTGCATTTCCCAGTATTTATCATCTCATTTTTCTCTCGATTTTCTAGTTTGACTATGGACAACGTCTACCATCTTTAGAAGGCAGTTCAAGTGCTCCAATCAGTAAAGGAACACCTAATATGGCTCCACATTCAGTTTTTGCATGGCAGCCCTTTGGAAGTACATCAGTTCACAACCAACCACAAGCTTCTTCCTTTCACGGACAACCCGCACATTTAATTCCATTGATCCCAGGTTCAACTGCTACTTATAGTGGTATGGTTAGCTCTTCTCCTGCTAGTTCAATGCCGACAACTACTGATTTAATGGATTGTCATCAGAAAACTAATTCACACTATGCATATTCTACCAATTATTCCAGCTCCTCTACATCAAATAAATCTCGTTCTATCGTATTAAGTCCTGCCACTCAATCTGGATGCTGTCCTTCCGATGTACAGAATATACGTTTAGGAATGCTTTTACCCAATTCTCATTCCCCAACTACTGCTCCAGTACCAATCTATGCACCTTCACTTTCATCCACTACCACTTCTAGTTCAGCACCCCATCAAGCCTTTTGTTCTCCGAATAGCTCTTCAAGTTCGAATCTATTTAGTACACCTCCAGTATTGTCTAATCACCCAGTTCAAGATCCTGCTAAAGCTGTCAGTCAAAAGCAACGTTCAAAAAAGGAGAGTCATAACAGAAGTCAGTTTACTATTGTTTTGAAGTTGCTGATTGTTTCGTTTTTTTCTCGTTCTGATTTCCTTAGTAATGAGCTGGATCAGTTTGGTTTTACGGCCTGCTAAAACAAAAACCCCTAGCTTAGATTGTTTTCGTCTGTAAAAGGTTCTTTTAGAGATTAGTTTATATATATATATATATATATATATATATATATATATATATATATATATATATATAGCATTTCAAAGCCAGCTTTACGTAAATTTCCTTTTTAATTTACTAGTGTACTGTTACTAATATTGATGGTAGTAATTTTGTATTATATAATTAATTTACCTACAAAATAAATGTACATGGTTATTCTACAGAGAAAATACCGTATTTGATTTTATATATAATTTGATCAACTTGTTGTTTATTCAGATGACAATCGTGTTTTGTTGTCAAGCAATTCTTAGGTTAAGCCTAATTTTTATGAATTTTAAATTTCCATCAGACTCCTCATCAATCGACTTTAAGCAAGCTATTAGAATATAATTTAATCTTTTTTTTTCTGTGAAGTTGGCAAGAAACTAATATTTTTGAAAGGTTGGTTGTATTTATTATTTACGTTCTCATTATCCGTCACAAAATGCAAAATAAGAATTTTTGTAAACGTGAAATTTCAGATCTCCAATCAGTGATTATTTTCTTCATAATATTTGTGCACATACTAGGATGATCTCTATGGCTCATTGGCTTGTTATTTTTTCTGTTATTCTGTTTACAAGATTGCGCGTGAACGTTGGCATGTTATTTTTGCAACATGCAAAATATAGTGCAGTAAATCGATTCCACTGGTACTCATAATTGTTTTCATCAACATATCAATAAATAGACCCCATTTTTTCACATCGATACACCACATGTTGACGAAATAATGTTAAGTCACTGAAATAAAAATTAATTTGTCGTAAAATGTTAGTATACATGAATTGTTAGAAATCAATCCATATTTGTATTGAGTTATGTGTGCTTAATACCAACAAACCCAGTTAAAACTCCTAAAAATGATTTGGTTTGTTTGGTTGTTTAGTATTTCTGTCAAGTTTAAATTTCAACCTATTACTTAAAATTGTAAATTGTTATTAATATATAGCATCAGTCCATCAATCAATTATTTACTTTGATCAATCGTTTCGTCATGTTTAGGGTCCTTATTTTATGTCTACAAGATGATCATAATCTGTGGTGCCATAGCCACTATATTTCTGAAGCTTTACGATTTATCCCCCCATTTCATTCGTTCTTTCCAAACTACATTTTGTGTGCTTAGTATTCACTTTTAATGACATTATTTTGTATCTTCTCTTGTTCATTTATTCTGATTTTATTAACGGTCATTGTGGCGATTTACGATGACCTGCAGAATCCTATATAAATTATGACTGAATAAACATGTGCGTTCACTCGATTATCTGACTTTTAATAATTCTGTTGAGTTGAAAGTAAAGTTGATTATTTCCTTATTTTATAACAGTATGTTACATTTTTGCGATCTTTCATTCAGTAATTCAAAGAGTACATTAATATTTGCGTGTTGGTATGCTTTGATCTTATTGAAGAGCTCACTTTAATGTCTTTGAACAAGCAGCTCTCACTTTCAACTTGGCTTATAAATCAGTTGATGTTGTGATCCGTAAAACAGTATTCGTTAACCTATTTTAAGTGTTTTGTTTGTGAATTATCAAAGTTCGTTTGATCATAACTATATGTGGATTCATTTTTACAGTTTTCTTATTGACTAGATAAATTCATTTCGTTGCATAATAACTTTACCTATTGAATCTGCTGTTTTTTGAAGTTAATCCATATATTCTTTAGAAATCTTAGTTATCATGTCTTTTTTTCATCATTTTTCAATGCCTAGTTGAACGGAAGCGAAGAGATTATATTAACTCACAAATCGTCTATCTCAGTAGCTTACTCCCACCGGAACTGTATCGAGATGTGTAAGTTAGTTATTTGTTATTTTAGGCTTTTCCTTGTAATCACTGTCATCTTTGATATTTTAGAATGCAGTTGTTCTTATGAATTTGTAACTTTCATTCTTCAGTCTGCTTATATTTCTCAAAGTTTTATCCCTAGTGTGATGATCGATTCTGACCTAATATAAGTAACAACATTCATTATTTCCAAGTTTCGCGTAATGTGGTTCTCCGTGGCGTATATAAGAATACTTCTTTCAGTAGATAATGAGTCAATTATGAAATCCAAAAAAATAGGATAATTTCGTCATCATACAAACAAAATTCGATAAGTGACTGAAAACCTAGTGACTTTGTACCTCTTTATCATGTTTAGCGATGACGGTATCCTCTTCGTGAGCGGATTTAGTACTTTTTTTTGAACCACTGGGTTCTCGTCAATAGTATCCTTAAATTTAATAACAACCTATTGCCAATTGACACTGCTTAAAGTGAAAATTTAAAACTTGCTTGGTGGTAAAGGCAGTTTCCTCACATATCGTACTGCAACACAATCTGCCCACATTCAATTGGTTTCTATATTAAAAATATTAATTATTAGGATCTGATACACTGGTTGTAGTGTAACTTTTGTTTCATTAAGTCTGTTCCAATAGGATTTCGTATTATATAGGAATATTTTGGAATTAGATACGATTGATGTTTTACCCTTCCTGTTTCCAGTTGAAATTTCATCTAATCTCAGTTCATAACGAGAATCATCAACCGACTAAAAATGACCAAATTTCCAGATATCTGTCTATTAGGGTTAAATTGCTACTCAGTGTAGATTTTTTAGTCGAATGGATATTTTAGCTGGAACAACTAACAAGTACTCTTGGGTTTTCCATTTGTTCTCCAGTTAGTTTTAAGTTTATGGTAAGAACTACCTTGTTTTCTCTCTCGTTTGACAAGTCGCTTTTCAATAATGGTCTTAAAACATTTTTTGAATGATGTACTATGTTTTAAAAAACTATTCATTTCTTATAGAGATGGTCGACGAAATAAAGGTAGTGTGCTCCGACTTTCAGTTAGTTACATTATGGAGTTACGTGAAGCTGTTTCAAGAATGGAAAGTCTTAAACAAGAAAATACGATAGCACGCCAACTAATCCCCCTCCTTTTACAACGTATTGAGGTAAGATTTTGTCTTCTTTTCCTTCTGAATAGAATCGCTCATCGTCTATTTAGTTGAGTTTCGTCCAAGGGATTTGTATTTCTACAGGACATTATTTTATTATGTTGTATTATATTTGTATCCTATTATAATTTATGCCTCTGTCAATTATCACGTGACGAAATCGCCATTCAGAACACCGACTTATATGACCTTTTCTCTGTACTAAGCTAATGATTCGTTAACCAGTACGAGCAGCCTTGAGTAAACTTTGAGTCCTTATTGGTCCTCTGTATAACAACCTCTCGCCTAGCCCAGCCCGTTCAGTCCAGAACACAAATATCAGCCTTCTCTGTATGAGTCGTATATTTCAGACATACGTGGTTTATATAAAAACAGACCAGACTGCATCATACCATAAAATAAAAGATAATTATCATACAAGTTCAAGCCAAAATTAGCTGTGAATATGTATACTGTAACTAATAAATTGAGAATAAGTTAAGAATGGTACAATCTATAACAGTAGCCAATAGGTCAAATAAAAGTTTATGATAAAAGAAATACGAATATATATATAGTAGCAGTTACCATTTATTTATTCTTCGTTGAAATATTAACATATCCATTTTATCATTATTAGTTTTTCGTGAATATGATATGCTTTGTGACTGACTACCTATAAAATTATTAAATCAAATACAGTAGTATTAAAATCTCATCCAAGTTATTTATCTTTTATAAAAATATCACAGGAAAGATGTGATAGGATTAGAAGTAACTATACAGGTGATTTGAATCAAATCTGTAAAACCAATCGCGCAAGATGAATGAATGTGGGTCAATATGGTCAGCTGTATTGGAGACCATTTGTGCATTCAAATGTGTTATAAGAAGTCTATAGCTTCTTATGTGGGTCCCTAAAAAAACAAAACAAAGTTCGCTTTACTTATGCTTCGTGGCATGAGACAACCTTGATACTTTTTATCCTCCTAATCCTACTACTCATGTCTCGTGTTTTACACCATATAACGGAACTTATCTTATTTTCACTTTCGTATATGTTTTTGCTGATACGTTGCGTCAGCTATAAGATTTAGTAATATCTTTCTTAAAAAGAGAAACAAGTTGACCAGTTTAAAGACATCGCTGACTATGTATCAATAAAATTTACGCAGAAATTAGGCAAAATACTTCGTTGATTTTTTTCTTCATATTCCTTCGGAACTAGTTGACAAAAAGCCTTTCCTTGTGCAATTTCTCATAGTTCTTTGCTATAGAATATTAGACGAATTAGATTTCTGAGTGTTTGCGTAGATGAACAGAGAATATTACCCACAATATATTTTCGTTTCTGTTCATTTTTATACTTTTGATTTACTAGTATTATTACTGTTGATTGAATAGAATGTCCTCAATTTAGACATTGTCTGAGTTTTCTATCCCATTGTGGTCCAATAATTTGCCAGTGTTGTAATTTTTGGTCACGTTGTTACTATTTAAAGTTTGTTTCTCATTCCCTTTTATATAAAATTCACTTGTGTATACTTTTTCTATTAACCTAGTTATCATGACACTCATGTATGCTAGTTTAGCATCTACAAGTCAGATACTTCATTTACCCAATGTTTGTCCGTTATTTCATGATAGCTTAGATTCACTTCCTATCCATATATATATGTATATAGGCACAATAATTGTACGCTTGCTAGCTATCTATTCTGCACGTTACTTATTGATTTTCAGTAACCCGGTTTTCGGAATTTCAAACTATGTCATCATTTTAGGCTCATTGTATTTTTATTTATTGCTCAAATGAAGGCTTATTTTAACGATTAAATTTCCAGATAAATAAACAAATAGATTGAGTAAAAAATGGGTGAGATTGTTTTTAATTTATCTGTACTTTTTGTTTTACTTAAATGAATGTAAAGAGCCTTGAGAAAATGACCTCGGAACCTAGTGGTGATCTAAAATCTAGTGAACAGTTACATCACTCCTCATCTGCCAATTCATTGAGAAATTTACAGTCACTTGAAGCTGTTTATCAGTCATGGCTTTTATTAAATGAAGCAAATCAACGTGGTTCTAATAGTAGTGGAAATACACCGAATTTGTCCACATCTGTTTCACGACACTCAATGCATCCTGCACATACAAATGCAAGTGATAGTCGATATTTACATGAATTAATGATGCAAAATGAAACTCCAGCTGATCTTGATTTCAGCGGTTCCAAATTACACCCAGTCCAATCAAGACACAATGTCAATATAAAAAGAGAACATGGTGAAGAAGAAGAAAGAACAGATGATTGTGGTTCATTATGTAACAAATCAGATACTCGACGTCCAGGATGCTCGTCTCGATCAAGCTTTACTGATCATCCAACATCAGAGAAGATTGAGGAAGAAGTGGCGTCACAAGATGGAAGCTTTGATAGTAGAGTACGTTAATTTGATATGAAAATATGTACAACTTGTGTTCATTTATCTTGAATTCTTCATATGGTTATTTATTTAGATAATATTTCCACTGCACAGTAAAATCCGGAATAAAATGCTGTCGTTTGCCAGTTTTTGGAAATCCTTTGAAGTTCTTATTTATGGTGCTGCTGAATATCATAATGTTTTATTTATACTCTTTTGACTAGTTTATTTCCAAGTCACTGGTTTAATTTTTTATCCACTAAGAGAATACTGTCTATTTGAATTCTTTCATACTGATTTCTGGATTTTTCATTACGTACTCAAAAACTATACAAATATCGATTGTATTTCCAGTGACGACGGGGTCACTGTCGAATTCAAGCTATATGATTTTGAATAATAATCTTTGTATTTTGTGGACAAGGTTTAAACAGATTAAAACTATCATAAAAAAGTTGTAAATACGTGGATTTAGCACATTTCATTTATTTAGTGATTATAACTTATACATTATGATATCACAGGGGTCAAAAACAATGATTCAGATAATGTGAACCAAAAGTATTGAGAAGAAATATAAGAGGAAAAGGTTGTATAATCTGTAATAAGAAAACGGTATCTAATAGAGAATTAAGTCCAATTAAGCAAAATACACAACCAAGATTTCTTTAATCTAAGAAAGTTCTTTTTACTTTTATGAAGAATGTTATGAAAAATTACAACAGGGTTGAGATTAATTTCGATTCTGAGGTGTAGCATCTGTAATTACCTAATTAAGGGATTACTAGGACTCCTAGCCAATCCTAGTCCAGGTATATAGGAACAGATAACCAGTTGTGTCGGCAAAGTATAACGAGTAACAATACCTTTGTTTTATCAAGATAAAACGGGAGCCATTGGAATAAAATTCTAAAAGCATTGCCACAGCACATTTGCACAAAATGATGATCCTAGTTAACTTAGTCACTACTACTAAACACACATATCTGGACCTCAGGATTGATAATAAAGTGATATCACGAAATCTGAGGCATCCTTTAAAGTCAACAGCAATGAAACATAGGAGGTTGTTGAACATTCTCAGCCCTGACAGGCCACATTCAGAAACCTTAACTCCTGTGACTGATAGGCTTCCTGTCCAACCTTCTACATTCTTTTGAATCTTTTTTCATTTACTCTCTGAGTGATATTTGCAAAAATCTACATGACGATTTCGACGATGATTTTTTTATTGATTTGTTGGAAATTTCTGAAATTGCAAAATCATTTGGTAGGTCTAGGTTTGATTCAACTTAGTATTCATCAACAATCTTATTTTCACATCCACTAAAGCACATGAGAAATTTCCCATTTCACTCAATTTACATTCACGTTTCTTTAAATCACTTATTATCCATCTCATTAGTATATCAGTCGAATTCCTAGTGTAAATCATTCAGCTATTCGATTTACTTCACAATTCGATTTGGTATACGAAGCCTCTTTGGTGATACTACTGATTCATCTAGTTTTTACTAATTATTTTTAATTATGTTAAAGGCATTTATTAGATACCTTTGTTTTGTCTATGATTTTCAGTATCGTATACGTACAAGATATATAAAAACCTTTTCTATCTCAAACCCAACATTTTTTCATTTACTTTACAGCCTAATTCTGCATATGAGTGCTATCCACATAATCTACCAAGAACTCCACAGTCAAGTGTTTTCCTGCAGAACCACTGATCATCATCCTACTTCTGTTTTGTTCATTTTTGTTCAACTTATTTTTATTCGGTAGAAGAAAATGTCACTGTTCTGAATGAATCTCTAGCTCGTTACTACCATTATTATTATTATCATTGCAAGTTAGCGATGATACTATTCAATATTGAGAATTTTCTCCATCTCCTTACACCTCCCCTGTCTCTGCGTGTGTGTGTATATCCATCAATTGTTGCCTTATTTCACCTCTTAAATTATTTTCATTTCACATTTGGAGTTATTTTTTGTTTTGTTACATTATTTTTGATGATTATTGCCGTTCCCCTCTTTTTTATTTAAAAAAAATCAAATCAGAGTAAATAAATAATGTTCAAATCAATTAACTGGAATATTCTACATAGATACTTATTGAATGTAAATCTAGATTAACAAAGATTATAGTGTACACAGATTATTTACACTTCAGATGTTAGATTATTCCGTTTTGTTTTTCGTTTTCTTTTCTCATTTATTACTACCTGTTACATTACATACGATCCATTATCTTTCGTTTCCTTTAAATGATTAGTTTGTCTGTGTTCTTGTTCTATCCACACTAGTGCGTACTATTTGATGATAAAGAAAAAAAGGCATAATATTCATATTGTATTATCATGAATAAAATATTTTTTATTTTTAGTTAAATTTTCTTGCTTTGCCTGGCCTCTCTCCAACCTCCCATTATATTATTATTTATCTATAAATTGATGTAATTCATTTATTTATAAAATGAAATTTCAATAAAATAGTGCTTTTGACAATATTATTATTCAGAGAGTTTGCTTTTGGTTTGTTTTCCCCTTGATATATTTTGTTTTTGGTGTGATTATTATTATTATGTTGGGCTGTATTGGATTTTGTTTATTAAAATGTTCGTTGTTATTATTGTTTTGTTTACTCTTTGATTTCTTTGCTTTTTATTTGCCCATAAGCGCCAAACTAACTTCTATTATTATTGTTCACTTTCAATTGAAATTTTCAGTTTATTATTTACTATTTCTTTTTCTCTTTTATGAATGTATAAATGCCTATTGACTGTACATGCACTTCTATGCATAGACAATATATTTCTCTTTCTAATATATATATATATATATATATATATATATATATATATATATATATATATATATATATATATATATATATATATATATATATATATATATATATATATAAACAGATTTATCATCATTCATAGATGCAGATTGTGACTATGACAATTATTATTATTTATTACTGTTAAGCTTTCTAATCTGTGGTGTACTTGTGTATGTTTATTCCCTTCTTTTTTAAAATGCCGTATCCATACTTGTGCATATAATGATATGCAGAATACAAACAAAAGTAAATAATCGGGGGAGAGGAAAATTATTTTTTTTTTGGGAGGAAAATATCAAGATTTTACATGAGATACACAGAAATTTCATACTTGTTTTTCTTTTCCATATAATTTCTCATGTTTTTGCTGTGTTCACGATTACTATGATTAAAGTCAGTCTCCCTTTATATTATTGTTATTATGAATTACGTAAAATAAAAGACTTTTTAGAAGGTTACTGTCAATATTACTTAAAAGTATCGTCTTTTATTAGCTTGTGTACATTATTACTAACTAGATTATTATTGCTCTTAAAATTAATGATTATTAATATTATCGGGATTTCTAAATACCTATACACTCATTGTTGAATGATAAATATAACAGACTATATATATATTTATGTAATAGAGGAAAAATAACTTATTCATTTACAGACTGTGTACCTGCACACATATACACATCTCAAATTACACAATGACGGGTTTTTTGTTGTTAGAATATTTCAGATTTACACAAAACGCAAAAAAGAATCTTTATTTTTCCATGATTTTCTTGTGTTCCTTGAAATAGAGATTATTACTTTCTAGTATATTTTATTTGTATTATTTTGCTTTTATATTCTTGAGTGTATATGTGTTCAATCAATTAGTTAAATAACGAACCTATACTATCTCTTATTTAGTGTTAACTAGTAGGAAATTCAATCATAATTTGTAGTCGAATATTGGTCATTGTGCAAATAGGTTCATCCTAATTGGGTTTTTCTTTGCATGAAGACTTTTGAATAGATAATGGTCATTCTCGTTCGAATGATAACTATCATGTGTGTTGTGTTAGTAGAAAGTAGATGTTTAACATAGTTTTTCTTAACTATCATAAGGGGTCACTGCATGGCACACTCTTATTTAGGTGACTTTTAGAGCAAAAGCATATTTGTATTTACTAGAATATTTTTTTCAACAATACATATCCATATACTATTAACTTCAAGCTGTGATATGGAAAAATATAAATGAGCATTACTTAGGTCATTTATAGGATAAGGTTTTGTAGGATATTGTATATGTGATATAATGTTTCGGAAAACCAAATTGCACATTATTGTGTTTTTGCGCATCTTACGAATATTTTGAAAATAGAAGTAATGACCTAGTTGTATAATGCTAAGTGGACTTGATTCACTTTTGTCGAACGTAAATAATGTTCATCATCTTTTTTGTCACCAAACATTGTTGGATCTATGCATGTAACAATGAAAGATATTTCAGTTTCCCATCCATATAATATTACCATCCTAGATACTTCATAATCCAACTAGAAACTCTTCGCATCTATTCACTCGAATACCAAGTTGGATTACATTGTTTTTTTGGCTAGCGTACTATGTGCTTAATTGCATAGTAACAAAAATAGTATCTATTCAATTTCATCAGTATTATTACAAATTACTGCATATTGTTGTATTCAGTTTATGCGAATTTGATCGATCAATTTGTAAAGAGAAAAAAAACATGAAGTTTTACTCGCAATAAAAAACTGATAAAGTTCATCCCAACGAATAATGTAAATCGCGTCATACTTTCTATAACGAATAAAACCATACTTATATATAATTGCGATTTCATCTATTTTATGGTATGACATAGTTTCTTGTGACCATTGAAATAGAAAAGAAACTAATCAAATTACAATTTTATTTTAGATAAAATATTCTCAAATTTTAATTCAGAAAAATTGTTTTTCTTTATTACATATTGCAATTATCAAATATCTTGCAAGTATTCGTTAAAAGAATGTACCGATTAGTACCTCTGGTTTTCTCACTCGCAATTCTTATTTATCACCAAACTTACTAAATAATGTTTCTCACTTTATCTGTCGTTCTATCAAGTTGTTTTGTCTGGGCTGATCAAAACTTTAAACTCGTTTTTACGTAAGTGATGCGTAAATTCTAAAGAAATTTCTCAACTGCAAAATTAGTTGGTTTTTACATCTTGTTAGTAACACTTATACATGGTACTGTCTTTTTATACAAAATTGATCGATTCTACATGAAAGTATCCCTTCGAACAACCCGTTTTTGTCACTAAGTAAAAGTTTATCAAGACATGTAGAATAAATTAAACTTGGAAATTATTTTATGTATCATTATTAGTGAAGTAAATCAGTAATGTAATGACTTGAGTTCAGGCTTTCTGTACAAGTCAACTGATGATCTTACGGATTGTGATGTTTATTGAACTCTACCATCCTGTAATCTAACTCCTCTTTATTTACCTACAAATCATTGAATGAAATTTTCTTAGTTGAGTAGCTTTTCGTCATAAGATGATGTCGATTAAAGTCTATTTCAGTGATTTCATTTATAACAGAAAAACTCGAATTATATAATGATTAGGAGTAATTTTGAAAAATGAGTTCAACTGAGAAGATTAGCTAACGCAAATTGAGTAAGTTGAATAATGTAACCGGTGTCACTGGAGTGTGTTTAAAGTGATTACTCGCTACTATATTTGTGTGTAACGACAACAGAATGTATTGCTAGAAAGAAGTCCTCTGTTTTATTTCTCATATTTTAGTCCATTATAAACGGAATGTGTGAACTCAAACTGAAGTTTGATAAATAGACGTGATTATTTTCAGTCTCGATAAGTATAGACTTTTCAATATTTCACCGAAATCTCATTAATGACACTAAGATAGTTTTCTAAATCATTAGGTAAGTAGCGGAGAGTAAGTGGCTTTTCATGAAGCTATACGGTGTTTTTTCGTTCTCCATGTAGGAATAGAATAGTTGCTTAGAAATTTGTTTAGGAAATTGATTAAAAAATTTCACCATAGAACCTTTTTGGTTGACTGTAGTCAATCCAGAAATGTATCTTGGACTGTTATCACATGAAATGTGTTTCTCGATAAAGCGATGACGATGATTCATCTAGAACAGTTCGAATGATAAGAACACATGCAATCATTTATGTAAATTTAATTTCTTACCGAGATTCGTGTTTTATCGTTTAAACACGGAGACTTGAAATTGAAAGTCGTTTTTATATACATATAGCCATACCAACAGTATGTTTGTGGGTCTCATTAGTAAACCTATCCAGTGCAATCTTGATGAACGTTCTTTAAAATAATATTGTCAATTTTCTAGTCAGATCGATAATATACTGTCATAGCTAATCTTACTCTTATGAACTATTGTATAGATTAACTCAAGGAGTGAAATTAATGTTTTTAATGCGTAATATGTAATGAAGTGACTGATGTGAAATCAACTTTCTGATGCGCTTCAAGTGTAGTATTATCCTCAGAGCAATATCATGATAAGCTTAGTTCAGTCCCCTTCGTCAAGAATAGGTCAAACTAGAATACTTTTTAGTATACTTTGAGTTGTTTATATAATTTAGAGCTAATTAGATTTGTTTGCCTAAGTAATCTCTATATTTTGAGATTCATTTTCTTGCTGCTCCAATTAACAGACATCGGTTAATTTAGTTTTTGTAATTTCTTTCATTAGTTTTTTCTTAAAAGAAAAGAAAGACCAACTTTTATTCATAGAAATCTATTAAAAGAATCTATTTATCTAGTTAACGATTTTATTTTTACACTATTCATGTACTCTACCTACATTTTTATAATAGTAATCTGTAGCAGCGAATTGTCACATTTTCTTTTTAGTAAACTGAATTTGTTAATAAAGACTTGTTCTGATTACGGAATATAAGATGGTTTTTATGAATGTTCATTGTTTTTGAATGGTTGAGATCATGAGTCAATTGAAACTAGACCACAATGGAAAACCTAAAAGCACTGGATAGCCGTTCCGTCCTATTGTGGAACTCCACAGCAATGCGCGTCTACGATCCCGATTCGAACTCGGGACCTGTCGGTTTCGCGTGCGAACGCTTAACCACTAGACCACTGAGCCGACATTCAATAGTATTGATATCTAACTTCAACCAATCCACGAAATTGAGCGACACATTCACAGTGAGTTACTATCTCACAATAGACTCGATTGAATTCGACTGATCACTTACGATCTCAACCTGAAATGTTCAATATATTTGGTTTATTATTATTTTTTTAAATCAACCTCTTAATTTTTCATTATGGTCATTTATTAATGTGTAAAATTTCAATATTTATCAAAAAAAATATTATTAAATTTAATTTTCTACTTGATTGTGTGAACTAGGTTATTTCAATTCAATAATTCCCTAGAAATAACACATATATTACAAGTGCTGTGTGTAGGTTTTCCAAATGTGATTTATTTTCTGGACTTATTGATTAAATTGAAAGTTCAAATGAAACTCATTCTGAATTAATAGTTTATATATGTATATACGTTTTTATTGTTAAGTGTGGTAGCTAATAGATAAATATCCTAAATTTAGTATTTATGTTATAGTTTACTGAAGTATTTTTAAAAATAAATAAATGTTTGGTAAAAATAGTTTATAACTTTCTAAAGTTTCACCTATTTGTTATTATCAGAGGGGGTTTTGTGTACATTGTAGTGATTTCAATAGTTGAGATCATGAGTCAATTGAAGCTAGACCACCATGAAAAACCTGGAAGCACTGGACGGTCGTTTTGTCCTATTGTGGAACTCCTTAGCAGTATGTACCCACGACTCCGCCTAGCTGGATTTGAACCCGGGAGCTATCAGTCTCGCGCGCGAGCGCTTAACCACTGAACCACTATTTATTAGTTGATTAATCCCAAATATAAGTTA